AGAGAGAGAGAGAGAGAGAGAGAGAGAGAGAGAGAGAGAGAGAGAGAGAGAGAGAGAGAGAGGAGCACACACACGTCCACATACACACTCACACTGGGTTCCTTAAAAAAAACACTCACACTCACACACATGCACTCACATTTGCATTCACACACACTCAGATACACGCACCTCTTTCTGTGCATTCCTGTCAGTTTCTGTTTTCGGGCCTGCTTTTTTACTTTGTGCGTTTTCTTGAGAGCTCTTTTTGTTTTGTTTGGGTTTGTCCTCCACTTAGAGAGGCAAAGGAGAGACGTGTGGAGGGAGAGTGAGGGGGAGGATCTGGCTTGGGGATGTTATGGTGCTGGGCTATAATTTATCCAATGTATTTCATGGACAGGGAGGATCAGCAGTGGGTGTGGCGACCCGTTGTCCTCAGATGTGGACCGTATGTTTTTCCAATATGTAGGCCTGGGTCCAACACTCTTGATTTTGGTTGTTCTCCAACACTCTCAAATTTGCAACCAAAACTGAGAGCGCATCGAGAGTTGTCAGACTCTTGAATTTGTTGATTTTGGAGGTGTTGCTCCACACACACTCTCGATTGGCTGCACTGTCGAAACACTTTTTGTTCTTCTTCTCCCCCCCCACCCTCCTTTTTCTTAACACAAAACGACGGAAAAAAAAAAGAGAGAAGAACTGACTACTCTCGATTTCACGGCGGGAGTTGAGGGCCTCGGAGAGGACTCGATTTTCGGGAAGTCGGTGCAATTGCCTTTGGTGCTGACTAGAAGATCGGTTAGGAAAAAACTTACGAGGCATTTGTTTTTCTGTTAGTGCATGGACATCAAGGCAACTGTTCTCTTCATTTTCCTTTTCGAAGGTTCTTTGTGTGGATTGCGTTCTGATTGGCCCAGGAGCCTGGTTTGAGCTTGGCGGAACAGCCTCGCTCATCCCGACAAGGCTGTTTTGTTTGTATTGCGAGGGACGCCGGGCCCGTTCCGCATCTTGTATTGCAGTCAGGCCTTGGGCACTGGGGCCCTTCAAACCACAAGTACGTTTCCCAGCCATTTTTCTACAACGCGGCTGCATGCACGCAGCATCTGGTGGGATGTATCTTGGTGCCGCTCCGCAAAAAAATCCATTCAGGCAAAACGGGCCTCTTGCATGCGAATCGATTTGCCTGGATGTGTTTTCTGTGAATCGCCCCCCTGGTACATTCTGTCAGACTCAGCTCGCATGCAGCCGTGTCGCAGAAAAATGCCTGGAAAACACTATGGTGGCACATGCAGCAGTCTCATCTGAGTTATCTCGCTCTGCGCCCAACTGATTTATTAAATTATTCTCATACCTCTTTTTTCTTGCTGATAACTGTCTCCATCCCTTTTTCCGCGGCTGTCCTGTTGTGTTGACATACATAGATAATGAGAAGTAGGAGGCATTTTGTTGCGCACGTGCTCGATGCGCAGGGCAACGAGGTTTTGCAGGTGAGTCTCTCAATAGATGAATTGAATTTATTGGCTCTTCTCATCCCATCAATCATTAGCATATGCTAGCAACTCTTCTCTTCCTTGGGCACATGTGTGCCCATCTGCTGCCCCTCCTGCCCCCTACCCAACCCCGCCCCCCTGCCCTTCGGGCCTCCCTCCCTCCTTGTAGAGCGCTTACTCACACTAGGACTCGTTACTCAAAACTTTTTAAACTGATCCATAGGGTGTACACATACATAATTGCAGTCAGATACATTGACTCTCTTGATCTCTCTTTTCTGCCCTCTGCACTATGGCTGGACTGTTTTGGCCAGGTGGATGGGACCCTTCCCCCTCAGCTCTCCCCCCTTTCCCCACCCTCTCCCCGCACTCTCCCGCCCTCCCTCCCCAGTTCCCTGTCCTGCTCCTTTGTTGGCTATAAAGATGAAGATGAAGACAAAGGGCATACTGACACCTGTGTGCTTTTTATAGACACAGAACATCGGGAAAATCGCAGCAACACATCCCCTCCCGGTCGAGAATGTGCACGTATTGTCTGTTGTATGGCAAGGCCCTGGGCAGGGGTGAAAACGTATGATGTACTCACAGAACAAGGTGGCTCAACAGCATGGCAAAGAACAAAAGCTGGCCTTATGAGGTGTTCTGCCGCAAAGCACCCCCTCCTCCTGCTTCCTCCCCCCAGGCTGTTTCCATGCCATCTTCTGTAGGCTGGAGAGTGAAAAGAAATGGGGTGTAAGCCAAAGATAAAGAAAAGATATCTTATGCTATCTTGTGTAGGCTGGAGAATAAAAAAAAATGTGTCGTGATGGCGACTGTGGTGGTCAGGATGATGATGGAGAAGAATAAAAGCATGTCTGTCTGTGGGTGACTGCGATGATGATCATGGTGATGATAACCCAGAAATTCGCACACCTTCTCACACAGCCACGATGTCAGACTTCAGCACAGCAAAGCTCATGAACGAGCTGAAAACCAGAAGGAGACGACAAAAGTTCAGAGATTCTATACAGCATGTTGTATGTATCTACAGCCTATGGCTGCCAAACAACCTTGAACAGGTACGACTCTCTCTCTCTCTCTCACTCTCTCTCTCTCTCTGTCTCACTCTCTCTCTCTCTCTCTCCTCTGTGTCTTTCTCTCTCCCCCCACTACCCTCAGGCCTCGAGCTCTCTCTGAATGACTTTCTCTTCCTTTGACGTCTTTCTCAAGCTAAGCTATGGCGAAGCTGTTGACCACTCTACACGACTGCCTCTCAACGTCACTGGACGCTTGGAGCACAAGACTGCAACAGCACTTCCACAGCAAGCTTGTATTGAAAATGTGTTGATACCATCGCCCTGCTGGACTTCTCTACTTTGCTGCAGTTCCCAATCTTGGACATTCTGGACTGGTACCTGCTCTTGCTGGCCCCAGTCACTGCTCTCCCTGAAGTGCACCTCTGTGTTCCCCCCCCCTCTCTCTCTCTCTCTCTCACGCTGCAGAGTTATTGGTGATATCTCCACCAGTCAAGCGTACGGAAACCCAGCTGCTGCAATGTGGAAAGGGGGACAGCTGCAAAATATGCATTGCGTGCCGCTCAGTCCACACTACAGGCATGTTGCATCGGCGTGGTGCCCACCTGCAAACGCTGCGGGCGCCCTGGTCACACACACACACAGACACACACACACACACACACACACACACACACACACACACACACAGAGAGAGAGAGAGAGAGAGAGAGAGAGAGAGAGAG